CCTGGAAGGCAAACAGCAACTGCGTAACTTCTAAGGTAAGCGGCCTGCTTTGACTCAACTGCTTCCTCTCTCTCGCTTGGCAAAAGGCCACAACTTAATACTTGGCGTTCGCCAGACAAACTTTGCATAAAAACCTTCACGCTTATAATTCTGGCCGGAAGTAGAAAATAAGAAGTGATAGTAAAGATTTAAAATAAAATAAACGTTAGTAAAACTTAAGATCCTTACAACATAATAAAATGCTTTACAGCCAAATACTCTTATGTGACTTAAGTTTGGTTTTCTACCATTCCACAATTTATATGGTGTTCTATCTGTGGCTTTAGTTGGTAAACTATTTTGAAGATATGCAGCAGTAGCTGTTGCTTCAGCCCAGAATCCTTTCGGTAATTTAGAGTTTATTAGCATAGCTTTTGTCATTTCTATTAAAGAGCGATTTTTCCTTTCTGCGACGCCGTTCTGTGCCGGACAATAAGGAACCGAAGTTTGATGAAAAAAAAATACGAGTTCTTTAAATAATTTTCAGTAGTTTCGTTACAGTATTCTGTACCGTTGTCGGATCTGAGAACTTTTATTTTCTTTCTAAATTTATTTGTTGTCGATGCAACACACTGTTTAAGTTTGTCGAATACTTCATCTTTTGAAGTAATAAATAAATTTGAGTATAACGCGAATAGTCATCAATGAAAGTTACGAAATATCTTTCCCTCCTAAGCTGTTGACTTCAATGGCCCACACACATCTGTTGTGCACCTAAATCCAGTGGATTTTTAGATCTAAAACCAGTTTTAGGATAAGATTTTTCATTTAGTTTCGCTTTTACACAAGTAGAACATTCCACACTATGAGTGCATTTGCCAAGTTTAATGCCGTCTGCCAAATCATTTTTCTCAAGTGTTTTTATGGCATCTACATTTCTGTGGCCTAATCTTTGATGCCATTTTAGTATACAGTTCGTATTAGAACATGAAACATCATTAGCTAAGTATGCTTTCTCGTCAATTGATATAAACCTTGCTGAGCGGTCAATTTATATAAACCATGCTGAGCATTGCCGTCGGCTACGAGTATATTGTTACCCTTTATGTAACACTTATTACTATCAAATGTAACAATGCAACCTTTATTCGTAAACAGATTGAACAGAAAGTGAATTACTATTTAAACCTAGTACATACAATACATTTTCTAATTTTATTTGTGTAACCTGACCCTTAAAGTTTTGAACTTAAACTTTTGTTTGAAAATAGCCTTCATCAATACCATAAGAATTTAATTTAGCACCATTGGCTACAGTTACTATTTGTTTATTAGAGTCATTTAACTGAGAGAAAAAATTCTTATCACTCGTCATATGAGTTGAGGCTCCTAAGTCGATAACCCGTTCTTGCGTTTGCGTGTTTTCATGTTTATTTTCCACTTTTAGAACTTGATTAAACTGAATCTGCGAATTTTCAGTTTCAGTACTTTTAAGATACTTATTTTATTTAAGTTTTGTTATGTTTTCTACACTTTGCGTATTTGCCATTTGGTATGCATTACTTTTATAATTTTGAGAATAATTTCTTACTTTACTGTTATTTACATCTGTTTTCGGGGAAGTTCTAGCGTTGCGTTTTAAATGAAAACAGTCATTTATCGTATGGTTATTTCTCTTACAATAAGTACAATATCGTGTAACATACTTTGATTTATTTTCGCTTTTACTTTTTAAAGCAACTGAATCGTATTTTTGAACTTTCTTAGTTTCCACACGTCTACAATACTCATCTATTAGTTTGTTTTTTAACATATTCTAGCGACAATTCAGCTTTCCGATTTACTTTCTATTGCAGTTATTAAGGAGTTGTATGTATTTAGTAAAGAACATAGTAATATTGCAATTAAGTTTATTTATTTAATTTCTTCACCTATACAACGCGCTTTTCAGCCCAATTCTAGTACTCCTTTGATATGTTCCTGTATTTTAGAACTTTCATTATCTAATGGAATATAGTTTTCTAAGAATAAATAACTTGCCTGTTAAATTAACACGTTCATGGACACATTTTAACTTCTGTCATACTTCTTTTGCAGATTTACTATGCAAAACATGGATGTAATTTGCGAATCCGAAATGTTTTAGGCATATTAAAGCTTTAGCTTTACGGATCATTTTATCAACCAAGTATCAGGAATACAGTTCCCGATTTTTCTTCCGAATACCACAGCATGTAAACTTTATTTTATCAAGAATTTATTCTATTTTAAATTTCCAGACTGAATAATTTTCATCTGTTAACTTTTCTATACAAATTGATTCTTTTAGAATAGACATTATTATTTGTTACAATTATTCTTATAAACTTTGTAACTAGTATTTTCAACAAAGAGTTTTAATACTTTATGATCCTGGAATCTTACAACATTTCAGTTTTTTAGAAACATTTCTACAAGGCAATTACCCTATTCAGTCTTATAATCTTTTGTTGGTTTTTGCATTAGCACTGAAGGCGTATTGAGTAAGTTTCCTCAGGCGCAGTTTTCATTAAAGAATCAGAAGTCAAAAAATTAACTACGTAATCTTTATTTAATAAAATAGGATTATTTTGCTTAACTTAAGCATAACAAAAAGTAATAATTTTCTCAGACATTAAAACACTGAAGTATTGAAAAGAATAACTTACATAGAATCATCATCAGTCCTAAATATCATTAGGCTTACCTATTTAAGCAATAAGAAAAAGCAGAAACAGGAACATACTTTGACACAGTACCTGGAAAAATGTACTAACTCAATTAGACCTTTGGCCCAAGTACAAGTAGCTAAGGTGAGAATCGAATGTACTCCACGTAGCTAAGGTGAAAGTCAAATATACTGCATTGCGCGCGAACTTTACTTTCTCTCGCCAATATACTATATCTTGGCGCACCTTCGTTTCGTATGCCTTTCGATTATGCAAAATACCTAAATTTATGCTAACAGCAGCTATGTTGAGAAAAAAGTAAACTTAGGACCTTTTTTTGTTTAGCCAAGCTTTTACTATACAAATTTTACATTTATTTACTTGTTAATTTTTTTAATTTGTTAGTTATCATATGTTGCAATTAAAATAGACTGTATAAAGATATGGGAAAGGAAGAATTGTGATGAATATCAATATTATTTGTTATGAGATTTTGTAACGAAGAGTAAATGCAGATGAAAATCACCAATTTAACAAGAACTTACCAGCCACATTCGTAGTACGCTTTTTTAACAAGTATTGTGTCTTCACATGAACGTCAAGCATTATTCCCGAACGGAAAAAAGAAAGAGAGATAGGGTGAGAAAAAGAAAAAAAAAACTAATATTAAAAATATTTAAATTTAGCTTAATTTAGTTGTTATTGATTCAGCATTCCTATTAGTTCAAAATGGACCACTTTTGCAGAAAATAAATCAGCCTGATAATTGCAAAATCTAATCATTAGCTAGATTCCTCATTTTCAAAGGAAACGGAACATATTACAATATAGTAAAAGAAAAATTTTAGTAAAGTCGCTTATACAGCTTGAATAGAACCTGGTGGGAAAACCACATGTTATAGCAGTTGATGATCTTACGAAAATAAAAATGATTAATACAATGGAAATGGCAACAGAAACTTTATTTTTCTTTAGATAGTGTCGATAAGGAATGCTCTTTTGTCTGAATACACAGATAGATCGAAATCTTCCATATAATTATGTTTAAATATTTTTCATGGTTAAATGATATAGAACATGATATTTTTTTCCCATAAACATTTACCGTTTTAAGAGTAAAATATAAATCATAGTAAAAATATTGTTTCTGTATGTATTATACAGCGTTTCATATCCTCCAAATCTTCACAAAGCTGCTATTTTAGATCATGTTTTCTTCCATCACATTGGAAATTTTTTGCTAAAATTTCCGAAATATATATTATAACTAGGGTTTGAAATATTTCTAGAAAACAGATATTTTATTTTGCGCGTGTAGAGTGTCTTCAGGAAATTCCAATCTATTTAATAAGAAAAATCAAATTAAATTAAATAAAAATACTTTAAATGAAAACAAGAAATATCTCCAAGCCTAATATCTCCAATTTATATGAAGCGAAAATTACAATCGTTGTGCTCATCCTCAAATTCTTCAAGAATTATCGAAGATCTGTAATAAATAAATAAGTATGATACAAAAGTAACAATTTGAATAACGCTTCCCCGTGAATTTTGCTATCAAAATTTCTTTTAATCTTCTATTCAGAATTCAAACAACAATTTTCCACTCTGCCTATCAGCTGGACTAAGTTTAGATTTGCTGCAATCCTGCGTAATATGAGATCATTTTACTTTTAATGCATATCAATGCAAGAAATTTATTGGCTTAATATATGGACTACTCAATAATTTTCCTTTTATTTTTTTAAATAATATGTTTATTTGATAATTTTTCGCAATCATTTAAATTTTAGCGTAATTAGCAAACGAAGCATTGCACCAGCTAACAAGCAGCGTGTTACTAAGAAAATGGAATAAAAATTCATAGTTTAATGCCTACATATATCTTTTTCAAACATCATCATACTAAAATTAGTATGATGATGTTTCATTACCGTATTATTTTCCATATGAATTATAGTACGAGAATAAAGCTGCACGAACGAATAAACTTGAATGTATATATAAACTTGATTAAGATTGGATAAGCTTAATTCAAAATGTACATTTTGTCATGACGCAAAATAAATTAGTCATTATGTCATTATTTAGGTCATGACGCAAAATAAAATGTGGACTTTGTTTATAAGAGAAATTTACAAAACACCGCAAACCTTTTGTATTTGATATGGCAGAATAAAGAAAGAATCTGCTACGTTTTCCTTATCATAGTAGAAATGTAGAATCTCGGAACACTCGCGAGAATGGAAAGGTGACTGCAGATAAACATGTGGCATTTTCTCAGGTGAAAATATTCTACAGATCTGCATTTTATCAATCTGTTTTAATATTGCGGTTTTGAAGGAAGTCAGTTCTACTGGCTATACCCAAACGGGCAACATGCAGCTTTATATTTTTGTCCTATTAATCTCTTCAGCATGTAAGTTTATTTATTTATCTGTTTTCCAAGTTTTCTTTCACATTTAATTTTAAGGTTGCTTATTAAGGATAAGGGTTAGTTACTCATTAAGTTTAAGGGTTTATTAAGATTACTTGTAAGAAGCTTTATAGTATAAAAAAGAAATTATTGCTGTCTGTAAGAAGTTATTTCTTGGAATGAAAGTTTTTGTTACTAGCACATTGTTATTGAATTGAATGAAAACATCTCCTTACGTGTTAAGGATCTCAGATATAGCAGTGTCAAAGTTTCAATTTGTTGCATTACGTCAGATGAAAATTGCGATTTTTGAGTTAACTTTATTCTTGGTTAGGGTCCTGTAGATTTAAAAATTACCCGCCAGAGAGGAGCAGACATATTTTTAATGTAAATACCCATTTTTTAAAACGAATCATTCCCAAACAATTAGAGCTCTAATAGACAAGTACAGACCTTTTTCATGCAACATTCTGCGTACTATCGAGGCTTTTACTGTCTTTTCTGTTGCAGAAATATAGATGCTGAGATGAAGTTGCGGTCCTGTTGAGACGTGCAGTAAGTTGCAAATGCAGTCATCTGCAAAAGTGGTAACACTTAGCCTACTTTTGGAGGATCTTCGACAGGCTGACAGACAGACAAAGTAGACAGATGTCTTGTTTTGCACCCGCTAAGTCTTTCTGCACCGATGGGCGAAAAATCAAGCTTAGGTGAAACAACGGTTAGAGATTGGCTCTCAACAAGTTTACCATGGAGCGGCTGACATTGTTTCAATTTTTGTTTTTGAAACATGTGTTTTTCTTAAATTAATAGTTTCTTTTAGAATCTCGAAAATTTCCGAATTATAATCTCAAATTCTGAGAAATAAACTTACTAATGTAGAAATTCGAGAAGCAAAAATATTAGTAAATCAGAAAACACAATCTCTAGTCGATGCAACAATTTCAGTTGAATCCGAAACCTGCTATTTTAGAATCTTTTCATATTTGGCTTATAGCCTTGTTTCTTGAGAAATCGGTAGAGAAAAAAGACACAATTCTTATTAAGAGAACCACAAACCAAAAATTACAATTTATCAATAAACAATTAATATAAATAATGTATTATATTGGCATATCTTTAAAGGAAGATGTAACATCGAGTGAGATTGTTTACACTTTTTGTGTCATTTAAAATTAAAATTAAAAATGTATTAAAAAAATAAATGTCTGCATTTTCAGTATTTTTAAGATTAACTTGATAGAGTAATTGTAAGAATTGTAAAAATTGGAGGCTCCCTTCAGCCCACCTGGACACAAGTGTCCCCATAGCTCAAAAGAAGGGGCCCCGTATCTCCACAAACGAGGGCAGCCAGTAACCCAGCCACCCCCAAACAACAAACAAAAATACTAAATCAAAACTAAATAAGCACATCTAACACAAAATTACAGACTAACAAACAAAACAAAAAAAATCCATAAACACAAATTCATAACATAGAACACCACAGATATCCAAAACCCATATAAACGCAAAATTCAATTTTAACAGAAGATTCCTACTAGCGCCGTATTTTCATTTATAAACTTCATTAGAGCAATAGAATATGATTTAAAAACTTTAAAATTAATGACACTTACATTAAAATCAGTAATGTAAAAATCTGTCTAATAGGGGCTGTTAAATTACAATCAACCACGAAATGCATAGCATCACCATCAACCTGACAACTATTACATAATTTATTTTCCTGCAGATTAAACCGGTTGAAATAGAACGGAAACCTACCATGGCCAGTTAAAACCTGATTAAAATCAATGTTGTTCATACATTTCATTTTATTTGTGATTTTAATTAGTTCCATAAATCCTTTGTTTTTTAGGTGAAGAGAACCACTGTATTTTCCATTTGTTAACGTAATATTTTTTCATTCTTTGAATTGCAATTCTCTTCGAACCTGTTACTTCCATATCCATTGCACTGACATTTGAGACCGCCTGCTTGGCCAGGCTGTCGGCCCTCTCATTACCAATAAAGCCTATATGGGCTTTAACCTAATGCAGCTTAATATTTAAATATGAACTCAAAGTTTCTAAATGACTCTTAATTTCGACAATTAATGGATTGAAATTGTCTGGGCGGGAGAGCGCATGCAGAAGTGACAGGCAGTCAGTGTAAATATTTACAGACGTGGGTATAAATAAGGTATTTTTAATCCATAATAAGGCTTGTTTGAACGCTTCACCTTCTGCCTGAAAAATTGAATTATATATGTTCAACTTACACATTCTATAATCCACCTCAGTGCCATAATAAAAAACAACAAAAGCAGCTCCTACGCTCCCTCCGACCCCAGAACCACCTGTATAGTATCAAACACATCAACAGTTAGATTACATTTATCAAAAACAAAACCAATTCTTTGGAAGGATGTATTAAATGAATATTAAATTTTTCAAAAACATTCTTTGTAATTAAATAATCTTCATACATTTTCAATTCCATTCGTTCAGTTCTAAATAAAAATTTCTCATAAAAAATTCGTATAAATTGAGAGAGGAGGCACCCCCAGCCAACAGAAAGACGGCCTCGGTAGGCACCGTTCTAAAACATCGGATTAAATTAAATAAAATCTAAACCCCAAGCTCTCTGAATACTGTCTAACTTCATCCGTAATCTAACCAGGTCCCCTGCCCTGGATCCCCAGACTCCAATTCCATACATGATGATTGGAAGCACTACATTTAAGTAAATCTTCTTCAGAATGGAGGATTTCAAGGCTAAAATCTCAGCTGAAAAAGTTCTTCTATAATTTAATAAAATCAGATCAGTTCGTCTTTGTACCAAGTTAAAATGTTCTATAAAATTTAATTTATTATCAATGATAACGCCAAGATATTTCATATTATCTACAAATTTGATTCTTTTGCCTTGATATTTCAAATTTGGTGGTCTAGTCTTTTTACCTCCTCTGGGAAAAAACAATGCACATGTTTTTTCAATATTAAATTGCAATTTTTCTTTCTTTTGCCAATCACTTAGTATTAGAGCAGTTTCATCAAATAATTTTCCATTTTTTCAAGAGAATCGTGTTTCATAAGAATCATAATATCATCAGCATATGCAATTAATTCCACATTTTGAGGAAACTTCTGCTTCAGCAAGTTATCCACAATAATGTTCCAGAGCAGGGGAGCACTGCAGGGGCCTTGAGGGCATCCTTTATAAATATTCATTACTCAGTCTTTACTCTTATCCTTAAAACAATTAAAAACAATTTCCCTATTACTAAAATAACTTTTGAATAAATAAAGCAAGTTTCTAGGTATTTTTAAATCAATTAAACCATGCATCAAGGAAGACCAGTCAACAGAATCAAATGCAGCTGAAATGTCTAGAGAAATCAAAGCTACGTGTTGCTCACTCAAGGAACCTCCTTGCGCTCACCTCTAAAACGTCTGGACATATCCAAACAACCCGATAAAGTGCATCCTCCGTACCTTCTTCTAAACGTAAATCCATATTTGAAACTCACTAAGTGGACATTTATTAGCCATAAAATTGTAAAATTCTATTAGTTAACCAATTGGTTCTAGCACCTTACCCAAAATATTCAAAAGAGTAATGGGTCTTTGCCTTTCCATTTAGGCTTAGGGATCAAAATAATTCGACTAATTTTCTAACAATCTGGAAAAAAAGAGTAAACTTAAGACAGGCATTATATAGGCCAAACAAAAAAATCTATGGGTAAGTAGAAGAATAATCTTTTAATCAAACACAGAAGTGTATGCGATCCGGACCAGCAGCAGCCATATTCCTCAAACCCAATATAATACTTCTTAACTTCATCATATGTGAATGGTGAGTCATTTTCACTACATTTCAAAACATCATCTTCTAAAATATGCATATGTCTTCTGGTTCACCCAAATCAAGTACACCTCTTTAACATGTACACAGTATTAATATCTTGCTCATCACCCATACCATCAGGTCTTCTTCACCTTCAGCTTTAAATTTCGCTTTCCAAATGCCGTCTTATAAAAATCTATCATAATAAACAACGTCTTCTTAAAAAATAATTCTTCTTTACATACTCTCTTGGTCTTCCTAATCATAACGTTTATAAATAGCCAATTCTCTTTTGTACTTTATCTTACGTAAAATTCTAGTATTATCATCTAATCCAATCACCTGTGAGCTTCTCCTAAATCCACGGATACGTCTTTTAACACTTTTTCCAATTCGGGCGTCCACCATGAGATTACATTTCGAGTTTTTCTATGTATTCAGCAGACCGCAATCTATTTTCTTGCCTGAAGCAACATTTCAAAATCGTTTACTACACCAATCAATTGTTCACTGTCATTTACAAACACCAATTCTCTCACCGAAGCCTCATCATATCGACTTTAATTTTCTTACAGCCCTGTTGACTCTTAAGAATATTTCTCGATACCAAGGGCCCCTGTTCCATATTGAAGACAAGAATCTGTCATTTCGAAGACAACATAGCGATGATCGCTCAGTGAATCATCAGTATTGATTTCAAGTTTGCATTTGTTACTATCCAGATTGCTGGATCCTATAGCTAAATCTGTCCAACCTTGTCCGACAGGAGAATTAAAGGTTGCAATAGAATTAAAGTCATTAAACTAAATTAAATTATTAGATACAATAAAATCGAACTCCAATGTTCCTCTTGCATCGATCAATTTGGCCCCCCAACTAAAATGCTTTGAATTAAAATCCCCCATAATTAAAAACCTCTTATTCGAGGCGTATTCGAAAAGTAAGTACCGTTTTGAAAAAAAAAAAAAAAAAAGTAAAACAATTTTTTCGAATCCAATTTTATTACTACATGAAAATACATGTCTTAAACTATTTTTCAACATAGTTTCCGCCAATGATCAAACACTTGTCATAGCGGGTGACCAGTTTTTGTATACCATCGTCAAAGAAACTTCCCGCCAGTTTCGATAACCACGACTCCACAGCATTTTTCGTGTCATCGTCAGATCCAAAGCGCTTGCCACCAAGCTCGCGCTTCATGTGCAGTGATAGTCGGACGGCGCCAAGTCCGGGCTGTACGGCGGGTGATCGAACTGCTCCCAATGAAAAACTGTCGAATTAACGATTGAGTGACACCAGCAGTATGGGTCCGGGCATTGTCATGGAGCAACGCAATTCCTTTACTCTTCGTCTGTTTTGAATGGCACGCCTTAGTTTTGTTAAAGTCTCACAATATCGTGCCGCATTAATGGTTTTCACCTCTGGGAAGAAATTCAGTAAGCAAAACGCCTTTCCTATCCCAGAAGACAGTGCACATGATTTTTTGTGATGACATTGTCACTTTGAACTTTTGTGTTTTTTCGGAGAATGAGTGTGTCTCCACTCCATCGATTGTTGTTTCGATTCTGGTGTGAAATGACACACCCAAGTTTCATCACCTGTCACAATTTGGTTTAAAAAGTTTTCTCCCTCATCACTGTACCGCGTGAGAAATGTCAGGGCACTACCAAGTCGCTTTGTTTTGTGAACATCAGTGAGTATTTTTGGAACCCATCGGGAACACAGTTTGCGATAATTCAAGCGGTCAGACACAATTTCGAACAAAACAGTACGTGAAATTTGTGGAAATGCCTCTGAAAGAATTGTCATTGTGAAGCGTCTGTTCTCATGAATTGCTTCATCAACTTACCAAATCATCGGTGACAACAGAAGGCCGACCACTCCGAGCCTCGGGGTGGACATTTGTTCGACCTGCATTAAACATTCTTACCCACTTTCTCACCATTCCATCACTTATCGCGTATTCACCGTAAACTTCTGTCACTTGACGATAAATTTCGGCCGGTTTAACATTCCTCGCGTTCAAAAATTTAATCACGGCACGAATCTCACAGTCAGCGGGAGAACTAATTGTCTTAAACATTTTGAATGTGCACAGCAAACTGAAAACACAACATAGAGCAACCAAAATGGCGACAATTGAAAGTCACTGAACAAGAAAGACTAGTGCGCATGCGCAGGACGCCTACCACAGCGCTGCGACGGCGCTAGAATGAAACGGTACTTAGTTTCCGAATACGCTACGTATATAGATAAAAATCTCTTCCAATTTATGAAGATTTACAGCAATGTCCTCTGCAGGAGAAAAGTATGCTGATATGAAACTCAATTCTTGGTCTCCCATTAATACAGTAATAGCTATTACTGTTAATCCACTATAAAATCAATTTCCTCTTTTAAAACAAGAATTGCAGTTCGCTCTCCAACTTCAGCTGCAACTCTCCAGCCATTCTCAACAAATGCCAATTTTCCATTCACCCAATAGGGCTCCTGCAATAATATCAGATCAGGACTAACACCAATAACATTTTGGAGAACAGAGAGCTGGGCAGCAGCTAAGGCGCAGTGGTTTAGGTTGATACTTAAAATAATCATATAAATTAATTTATACAGTAAAATCATGTGAAAATAGAACAAATACACATAAATGAAAACACGGCTGCTGAAATCTAATTATATAAAATACTAGAACCAATGAGTACATACATGCTAAAATTCATAAAACTTAAGTCATACTGGTCATTCTTTAAAATTAAAGTCCATGTGACCTCTAATAAATTCAATTTCTCTCTTTAAAGAGGGACAGTTCTTATCAAATGCACTGTGATCATGTTTCAGCTCTATACCATACTTCTGATTAAAAACCACACAGTTTTAAACATTTTCTACCTTTGTCTTTATTTTTACAAATAGTCGCAAGATGATTTCCAGCACATTCAGCACAATGGACTTTATCTTTACAAAATCTCTTAGAGTGACCGTATGTCAAGCATTGTATACACTGTCTTGGTCTCAAAAATAATCTCGCAGAGAAATCACGCCATCCAATTGCCAGACGTTGCTCTTCCAGTATTTCTCTTTGACGAACAGAATCAACAGAAAACACGATGGAGTGTCCTACCCAGTCCTTTCGTAGGAATATCAAACAAATGTCTAGCACATTCGGCATTACATACACAGTTACGTTTCAAGACATCTACAAGCTCTTCATTCTTAAAGGTCTCCACACCATAAACAGTAATATCGAAATTGAGAATGCTGTAAGTAAAATATCATCCATTAATTTTACATTGTACTTCTTATTTATATTAATATATGTATCTATTTCTATGATTTCAGGGGGACTTCAACTCAGAAATCCCATGGAAAATCCCGATCTCTTTCAAGGTGATATTCTAGGATTTGAAAATGTAGACGTAAGTCTGTGTCGTACTTATTTTTGTTTAATACTGTTGATATATTGATGTAGGTATATTTTGAAAGTAGTTTGAATTAGATTTCAGCTGTTCGCAGCATAGCGAATATTGCAATAAAGCAAATCTGATCAATATTTATATTTCCAGAGCATGCAAAGTCATCATTACACGTACTATAATCCCTTAAATGACCCATTTTTAAAATATATCGCTTATTAGAACTCTCACAATGGCTGTAATAATGGTTTTATATTTCTTTGTAAGCTCTTTTAGTTGCGTCTGCAACTGGGTTTACAGTTTTAGCAATACGTCTAATTCTAGATCTGTCTTAGCATTCGATCTGTTTCCCTAGGACGGTTCATTTATTGCATTTAATTTCAAATAAGAAACTTGCGACTATTACTTACATTTCGAGTGCACACATGTAGCGAAAAATCAAAAGTATTGGGAACTTTAAAATCATATCTACTCCTTACGTGACATATATATTAATTACATTGTACTACTTTGAATGTGAAACACTGAAATCTGACGAAGGGAAATTTATCAGAGATTTAAATAATAAATCACTTTAATATTTACATACACAGCCCACCAGTTACAGAATCATTAAGCAGACTAAACACACTGGTAATTCGACCCACATTAAAATTCTAGATCAGCTGTTTTCCACCTTTTGAATAATAAGTACCATCTAAACAAAAAAATTAATAACTTTAATACCATCACTACATTTTACAATGATTATTTTCCAATTTCTCAAAAGAAATATATATATAAACATTGCCATTTGAGCAATCTATTGGCTATTTATATTAAACATGCACACATAAAATATTAGATTAAAAACTGGTTACCATTTTAATTATCAAAATTTAATTTGTAGTACTTTAATTCTAAAATTTAGTGTGAAATTTGTGTCTGTTTAAGCGATATCCATTTCTTTATGTCTGGTTTTACTTCACTTAGTTTTAACCGTAAATTACCAGTAGAATCTACTTTTAATTTTTTTCTGTACTTTTGTTTTCAAATATAACACGTAATAGAATCCTTGTTTACACAAATAGGTTGTGCAAAAAGGCAATAAAATTTAATAGTTTTATTTGAAATGCCTCTAAAATTCTTCTTTTCGGTTCAGCCAAAAGTTAACAAATGTGTTATTTTTTGAAATCTTCAGTTAGAGTTCGATCACAGTAAACTACTATAAAATGGTTCTTTTTCTTCACGAGATTATTTAAAATACTTTGTTTCTTGGCGTACCACCTATTTTTCTCTTGCGTACCACTACTGGTACGCGTAGCACCGGTTGAAAATCGCTGTTCTAGATGGACTAGCGGCAGGGACATTTTTGCAGTGCCCTTTAAGCACAGTATGAATAAAAGCCAATTTTTCTTTAAACGTACTTTGGGAAATATCCTTTCTCTGATGATAGCCTTTCGGTGAAAGAATAAATAACTGTCATATTCATGGCGCATTGCCTGTTATTTTAACAGGGTTATTTTGCGTAACTTCAATATTGTTGCATGCGTACGGGTTCGTTATGAAATGAATGCACAAGTCCGATGAAAAATGAACAAAACTTTATTATTATCACAACAAAATTGCTTAAATTTTCTCAAATTATCATGCAGTATTACAATATCTCACAGTAGTTATCTTTTAACTACTCAAATGTCCAATAGAACGTCATTCAAAACAGCTAAAGAACGCTAATCCGCGAATTCGCTACAATCAACAAGAGCAGTTTTCTAAAAAAAACAACAAACTGAGATGTTTTCCTCCTTTTATAAGATTTTAAAATCACGCGCTAGAATTTTCCAGTACTTTCTCGAAATCGAAAGAGATATTTATTTATTTAATGCACGCGCTCTTGTATTTTCAATTTTCCTGCTTAGCTTTCTTTTAATATTCGTCACGCGCTGCACTGCGCGAGAAATAAAACCATTTAATTTATAATTGAACTAACATTAGCTTTTTAAATACCAAATTCGTAACACTGCCCCCTTCCCAAGGACTGCACGTCCCGGGCAGTACAATCCCTGGACAGGAAGCTAAACTTACAACTGTGGCATACATGCATTAATAAGCATTACATTACAATAATGAACAACATGAACAATAAATGCAATAATATAAAACAAATCAAATGCTATCAAATACTAAAATTCTTACCCACTTTCTCAATTTATCGCGTATTCACCAGTTATCGCGTATTAACTTATCACAAATGAAAACTAAATACAAATCAAATCAAATATAGATTTAAAACAAAAAGGACCATGGTCTTATACTATTTACAATTATTTACATTACGTACTATGGCCATAAGTAATGAGCTAACCTGTCGTAATGAACGACTTTAGGTTTAGAATTCGAAGACTTACGGAATCCGAACCACGACGTCATTCAGCCTATTTAGGACTGTGTACGGGCCATCCCAAGGTGACTGTAATTTCGGAGTAAGAGTCCTTTCCGTCGAGTCGGATTCCACAAACCACACCTTGTCTCCTTCGTGGAATTGATGTTCAGTAGCTCTTGTGTCGTAGCGGGTCTTCATCTTCTCGGTCGCCAAGTTGACTCTCTCTCGTGCAAAGTTGTGCATCACTTCAAACCGGGCCTGGAGATCTTGAATATATTCCTCAGACGATGAAGGAGAATCCGGAGGGCGACCAAACAATAGATCACAAGGCAGACGAAGGTCACGACCGAAGAGCATCTGTGATGGTGAATAGCCGGTAGTCTCGTGAACAGCACTGCGGTAAGCCAGTAAAAAGAGTGGTAATTTCTTGTCCCAGTCCTGCTGGTTTCTGGAAACCACTAATGAGAGGTTATTAAGGATGGTTCGATTGAACCTCTCTACCATGCCGTCCGACTGGGGATGTAATGGCGTCGTTTGGGTTTTGTCAATGCTGAGTAGTTTTCATAGTTCTTTGATTACTACCGAAGTAAAATTCCTTCCCTGATCGGAATCACCTCTACTGTAAGAGCCTCTTGATCAGGAATAGGATACGCTTCAGGCCACTTGGTGAAGTAATCAATGACAACGAGTATGTATTTGTTACCATCAGCAGTTCGTGGCAGAGGTCCCAAGATGTCAAAGGCGATACGTTCAAACGGCGCACCTACGTTGTAACGTTGCAGCTTGCCTCGGCTGCGTTTCCTTCGTCCTTTCCGACCTGCACAGGCATCGCAAGATCGGCACCACTTTTGCACGTCATCCTTTGCATTATTCCAGTAAAAGCGCTCACGAACTCTCTGTTCATTATTCCAAAGTGACCTCCCATAGGGCTGTTATGTAGTTCTTTAAGGACATCAGGAATGCGGGATCTTGGAAGTATCAGCTGCCATCGGAACCTCTTCCCATCATCCGACTCGAATTTCCGGTATAAGACGCCGTTTCGAATGTGAAGTGAATCCCAGAGTGCCCAGTATTGTTTTGTTGTAGGACTACAGATAGAAATGTCCTGCCATGTAGGTTTTCTGTTTGATGACTCTATTAAATCAAGTATGGGTTTAATGTCGCGGTCTTCCAGCTGGTCTTTCCTGACTTCATCATCCCTCCACGGGTCTCGATCAGCCGATGTTGATGTTGTAATTTGTCTTGCGACCGGAGTCAGCAGCTCGTATTTCGCTTCCACCCTGGAATAATATCGGCAGCTTTCTGGGCAAGGTCTTCTAGACAGGGCGTCGGCGTTCCCGTGTGATGATCCCTTTCGATGACGGATAGTGATGTCATATTCTTGGAGTCTCTGTATCCACCTGGCTATTTGACCCTCAAGATTCTTGAAATTTAAAGCCAGGCTAATGAGGCATGTCCGTGTGGAGGAGGAATTTTCTGCCGTATAGATAATGATGGAAATGTTCTACAGCTTTGACTATGGCGAGCAACTCTTTCCGTGTGACAGAGTAATTCCTCTCCGGTTTAGACAGGCACTTGCTCCAGTACGCTACTACACGTTCTTGGCCGTCTATTTCTTGGGACAAAACCGCACCGACACTTTCAATGCTCGCGTCCGTGTCGAGAACAAATGGTCTGTCGAGCTGAGGATACGTCAGGATTGGAGCAAATGTAAAAAAACAACAAAAGCAGCTCCTACGCTCCCTCCGACCCCAGAACCACCTGTATAAGTATCAAACACATCAACAGTTAGATTACATTTATCAAAAACAAAACCAATTCTATTGGAAGGATGTATTAAATGAATATTAAATTTTTCAAAAACATTCTTTGTAATTAAATAATCTTCATACATTTTCAATTCCATTCGTTCAGTTCTAAATAAAAATTTCTCATAAAAAATTCGTATAAAATTGAGAGAGGAGGCACCCCAGCCAACAGAAAGACGGCCTCGGTAGGCACCGTTCTAAAACATCGGATTAAATCTAAACCCCAAGCTCTCTGAATACTGTCTAACTTCATCCGTAATCTAACCAGTTCCCCTGCCCTGGATCCCCAGACTCCAATTCCATACATGATGATTGGAAGCACTACATTTAAGTAAATCTTCTTCAGAATGGAGGATTTCAAGGCTAAAATCTCAGCTGAAAAAGTTCTTCTATAATTTAATAAAATCAGATCAGTTCGTCTTTGTACCAAGTTAAAATGTTCTATAAAATAATTTAATTTGTTATTAATGATAACGCCAAGATATTTCATATTATCTACAAATTTGATTCTTTTGCCTTGATATTTCAAATTTGGTGGTCTAGTCTTTTTACCTCCTCTGGGAAAAAACAATGCACATGTTTTTTCAATATTAAATTGCAATTTTTCTTTCTTTTGCCAATCACTTAGTATTAGAGCAGTTTCATCAAATAATTTTCCATTTTTTCAAGAGAATCGTGTTTCATAAGAACCATAATATCATCAGCATATGCTGATGTTAAAGCTTCCTTTAAGTTGTTAAATGCATCCTCGCATTCCTTTGTCCACAAGAACGTTTGCTTGCTCTCTGTCAGCTTGTGAAGGGGTCTTGCGATGGAAGAAAAGTCATTCACGA